AAAGTGCAGCTTTAGTACCAAAGGTAACTGCGAAGAAAATGTTTGGTGTATCCTTTGGACTGAGGAGAGAGAATAAGAAGACTTGGTGCTGGAATGAGAACGTACGGCAAAGTATTTAAAATAAAGATTTCAGCAAAGGAAACATGGGATGGTCAGAGAGATGAAAAAAAATGTAAAGGCATTTATGGCACCAAAATGTTTAATTATTTGATCGAAAATAGCAGAAATATGTCAAAAATTAAAAATACTACCATTACTGTTTTCTGTAATTCATCATTTGTATATTTATATACAAAAACTAGTTAAATATTTCACTAATCCTGCTATTAATAATCACAACTGGGGCCGATGGGTACTAACATTATGGCTCATGTAAATGAGAAGTTATTTCCCCTGTGTTCACTCTTACTGCATTAATGGTGTTTTACTTAAATGAACACCTGTACTGGGAAATTTGAATACTGACAAATGTTTTGCATTGATAGAATGCAGCACAGCTATTTATATGGAAATGAGCCACTTATGTTCACTGATATAGAAAAAGCACCTCTTAGGAGGATTACTTTTTCATTTTTTACATTTAACTAAAAGTTCAAACTTTAGTTTCTGGCATTAAACAATAAATACCAGCTCAAGGCTAGTTACACAAACTAGTTTGATTTTCTGAATTTTTGAATCAAAAAGCCCAAATTTGGCTGGAAAATGTTAATTAGAAACTGGAGATTGTACAGAGTCAAAATATGTATATAATCCTTTCTGACCCACATGGTGAACGATAATTTGATGTTTATTGCAGTTATGGCGTAAATGAGCGCACACAACACCACATAATCATGCAAAACACCCACAAAGTTCTGCAGCTGTACACATGAACATCATCAACCATGATGACACAGCAGAGAGCGGTTTTGAACAGCACTCACTGACTTTGGAGCAAAGGACACTACTAACAAGGTAAGTGATGTTTAATGTAATATTTTAAATGTCCTCATTTCACACAAATACTTAACTTGTTTGTTTTTTTTTCCAAAAGCAATGTTTATTTATTCAAGCAGCATAACAAAATATCTTCAACAGATTTAAAAAGTGTAAATTCGATTTGGTTAGTTTGTTAACTACTAATGTGAGTTTTTCTTTTATCTTTCAACAACCATTCTTTGTATTTTTTTTACATTGCCTGTGTTGTAGTGGTAATGTTATGTTTGCTTATCCTTTTGTAAATGCCAGCTGCTGCCTTCATTTTGTCTCAGCTGTTGTGGGAACACTTTACATTACCACTTATATGGCATATGTAGGGTAATATTATATATACTATATACTATATAACAACTAACTTGGTATTAAAAGTGTGTATGCCTGAGTAATGTTAGATTTACAACTACCAATATTTTCCTAAACCCTAACACTCAATAGCAAGGGCTGGATAAACCTACCTCTTTTTGGTAATTCCAAACTGGATAATGATGAATTAAGCAATTGTGTTATGACTATGTTATCTGGACACACCTGTTGAACTATGAATTTAAATAATAAAAAGACAAATAAATAGACTGGTAATGTGTCAGAAAAGTATTATTCTTATCTTATTAATAAAATTAAACTGGTTTTGTAGATTCCAGATAATGTCCACTCAATGTTCACATACCAATATTGCAAGAAGGTTTTGCAAGATAACATTTATGTTATGTAGAAATGTTTCAAAAATTTGCCATACATTTCTGTTCAGAGTGCTTCTACTGTCCTGTCTCACTTAAATTGGACTTAAGTGGTTCTAGGTTCAAAGATGCATCATGTTATACATACAATGCCTTCTAATTAAGGCAACTGAGGCAAAGGCTCAGTTGTTAAAAAAGTTAAAGAATTATTTGTGGCAGATAAGACGAGAAACATGCGACAGCAGCCAAAGTCTTATCAGGCTATAGATGTCAGCGGACATTCTCAATAACTCAGATAACCTAAATAACACTTTTTTTTTTTTTTAAATAGAGGACCACATATGACATATTAACTCTGTTTATTGTGTGTGGAACATAAAGTGACTTCACATTTATCTAGGACTGAGATTCAGTTTGTATTTGCTGATATTTGTCGGGCTGTTTTAAACACTGCAGTTTAAATTTTCAGCCACTTAAAAAAACTGTTTGCTTCTCTTCTGTAATGTTAGCTATATGCTAAAATACTGCAAACACAACTGTTCTGCAGCATGAAGGAAGATGAACAAAGTATATGTATTGGCAAAACCATTTACTTATTATCAGTTGCAGCAGCATAGGATGGAATAACTCTTGGCCACAGTTCATAGTCTTCCTGACAGATTTTATTTTGTTGTTGTTGCTTTAAACTGCCAGTAAGATTTGTTTAGGTGTCCCAGTTCCATTCACGACTGACTTTGACCTGTCCCTACTGATGCTGTCCAGTTTAATTTAGGTTTACTCTTAAAAGAGAGCAGAGATTCATCTTAAGGTTAATTTAATAGTTTGTGACACTAAACTTGTCACGATTAGTGGAGCGGACTCAGGCGCAGACCACAAGTTCCTTCAAATCAAAAGTGAATTTATTTACAGTGTTCTCCACAGTGAAATATATATACACACAACGGTGTCTGGGGAAAAGGGGCCGGGGTTCCAGGGTCCGGGAGTGAAAGGGGCAGGAGTTCAGGGAGGGGAGATTCCCTTACAGCTCTCGCAAACACACACAGCTCCTCTTCTTTCCTCTACCACTCTTGCTCACGCTCAGTCACCGTTGTTATGGCCCGTCTAGGCGCGGCCAGACCACAACATAAAGGGTGATCCATCCCCGTCCAACCCCAAGCAGCACGTCACACACTTAATATTTTGTGACAGTGATTTATTTACAATAAGTGC